CCCCAGACTGGGATTTGAACCGGTGACCTTCTTGCTGAGAGGCATCAGCTCTACCAACTGAGCCACCGTGCCACCTGGGTTATATTGACTGAATCAAAATTCTGTGGGGGTCATAACCCCCCTAACCCCCCTGCAAATTACACCTATGGATACGTGTTGGGGATTGCTCTCAACTATCACCACACCAAAGTAGCTTTATCTTTCTAAAACTGAGTTAAAGTCTGGCTGTTATTTTTAACTTTGCTCATGCATCGCATTCCTTCCTTTCTTACGTGTTCAGAAATGCATAAAACACCTTTTTGTCAGGATTYCAGTGTGTCCTGCCCACTGTTTCCCTCTCTCTGCAGGATGAGCAGTGATGGTCATCTGGAGCTTCCAGCAGATGGTACTGTGGGATTCTCCTCCTGAAGGATTTACTGCAGCTGCTTAGAACTGGTGAATCTGGTTCTCTTTATGGAACCGTGTTAATCTCAGTTCATCACTAAAATAACACGGTTCACKTGAGTCATTTGAGTCGTTCATGTTGTGCAAATAATAAACATAAAATATAACTTGATATGCAATAATCAGTGTTTGTTTTATAATTCCACACCAATAAACCAATAAAAGCATCTTATTGATGGAACTAAAACTTAACATGTCTAAACGAAATTAAAAAAATCTACCAAATTGTTGTAATTGTACAGGGGTTAGACAATGAAACAGAAACACCTGGTTTTAGACCTAACATCCCTTTCAGACAGCTTCCTCTTTCGTCCACAGTTAATCCTGTTGGATGTGGCCCTGGCTGTTGCTGAAGCCAAGTTACAGTTGTGGGAGAAATTTGGTGAGACCATGGAGAGAAATGCATGTTAAAATCCATGAAGATTTTTGAAGATTTTCTCTCTGCTTTTTGTAAWTGATATAGTCCTGTTGGTGTCATCTCCATCTCTCACTGTTTGTGGCCAAGTATGAAGCAGCTGGGTTTGGGATCAGCACCTCCAAATCTAAGGCTATGATCCTCAGTCAGTAAAGAGTGGACTGTTCTCTCTGGGTTGGGGTTRAGGTCTGCCTCTGGAGACATTCGAGTATTTTTTGTCGAGGCTTTTGTTTACAATTGAGGGAAGAATGGAGCGTGAGATCTACAGACAGATCAGAGCATCTTCCACTGTATTGTGGACTGCCAGACCATTGTGGTAAAGAGGGAGTAAGACAAGTGTCTGTTCTACAAAAACCCAGAGTAAACAAACTGAACAGTGACACAAACTTGATGGTAAAAAGTAAATATTCTTTATTTACAAAGTCACAAGTGGTATAGACTGGGTGCTGCCTTTCTTTTCTTTGCTGGTGAGATTTCCAAACCACACTGTGATACAGCTAATGAAAAGACTTTCAATTGCACAATGATAAAAATTTAAAAGAATCTGTCTGTTTAGAGTGAACTCCTTAAGTTTGCGTAAAAAGAAGAGTCTGTCTAGCCTTTCTGACAATAATATTGGTGTTTAGATGCCATCTCAGACCTTTTGAAAGGGTYACTCCTAAAAACTTAACACTATCAGCCCTCTGTACCTCTGTGCCATTTATAATAACAGGCAGATGAACGATATTCTTGCCAAAGTCCACAATCAGTTCATATGTTTTAGAAGTATTCAGAACCAAATTGTTTTGTTTACTCCGCTGCACAACATGTTCTACTTCAGTCTGGTAATAAGAGTCATCAKTRGAGTTCACCAAACCAATAATAGAAGTATCTTCTGCATATTTGATAATCATATTAWGATTGGGATGGACAGCAACACAATCGTAAGTATACAAAGTAAACAGCAAAGGACTTAAAATACAGCCTTGTGGAGAACCCGTGCTCACAATGAGTTAGTTAGAAAAACAGTTGTTAATTTTAATCCTTTGAGGTCTGCAGGTCAAGAAGATTAAAATCCATTTGCAAATAGGGTCACATAAACCAAGAGTTTTCAGTTTGTGAATGAGTTGCACAGGTACAAGTGAATTAAAAGCAGAACTGTAGTCTATGAAAAGCATCCTAACACAAGACTTTCCATTATCCAAATATCTATACACAGAGTTCAGTCTGTAGGCAAATTGGAATGGATCCACATGTGGATACTGTTTACTAAAAGTATTTAGTTAAATTTACCCAGATAAACACAAAGTATTTAGTTAAATTTACCCAAATAAACTAAGTGCATCCACAAAAAAAGTGTTACTATTTCTCAAAATTTTAGGGTAATTGGTATTGAAATGAATCCAAAAAAGTTAGGTAGACTTTACTTAATGTATTTAAGTGTTTTAAAGCTGTTGACATTAGATACTCTTTACCAATAGTTTTTGGTTAAATTTACCCAAGTAAATTGGTTGCAAATTGTTACCCCAATTTTTTTGGTTAAATTCTATAGGTTGTTTTTAACAGTGCAGACACTGGAATCTGACTSTTGATGTAGTTCAACACCAGTCGCTCAAAAGCTTTCATTAAAACAGAGGTTAAGGCCACAGGCCGATAGTCATTAAAACATGTCACAGGCGTCTTCTTAGGCACTGGTATTATGTCAGATTTTTTAAAACTGAGTGGGACAGTACAGAGTCTTAGTGATAAACAGATCTGTTAAAAGAGGAGCTGATTGCTCTGCACAAAGTTTGAGGAGTCGAGGTGGAATACCATCTGGGCCAGAGGCCTTCCTCTCCTTGGTTCTTGACAGAACCTTCTGGACCTCCTCATGAGAAACAGTGAGTCTGCTCTGTTCATTTAAAAAAAACTGCAACCTCACTGTTGGCAGTTTCAAATCGGCAAAAAAAAATTATTAAGATCATCAGGCAATGAAGGTTCAAAGTCAGTAATGCTTGTTTCTTTAGGTTTCCAGGATAAATCAACATTCACTCCCTCCCACACACGATGTGGATCATCCTTGTTAAGATGATCCTCCACTTTCTTTCCTCAAGAACGCTTTGCAGCTTTGATGGACCTCTCTAATAAATATCTCGCCCCCTTATAGGCAGCAGCATCACCAGACTTAAAGGCTGCAGCATGCTCCTTCAGTTTTTGTCTCACATCTATTAATCCAAGGTTTTTGGCTGGGATAATATGTAATAGTCTTTTTTGAGACACATATGTCAGTACAGAAATTTAAATATCCAGTTACAGCATCACAGTATTCATCCAGATCCTCTGACTGAAAGACAGACCARTCTGTAGCATCAAAACAGCCTTGTAATTTTCCACTAGTGCCACTAAGTGGCACTAGTGGAAAAGGGGCATTATAGTATAGGCCTACTATAGATTTTTGTTCTTTACTGTAAAGGACTGTGTTTTTTATTTACCTAATTTCTCACACATTAAAGGATTTTATTTTATTTCCATGNTCTTCTAATTTACAACACTATTGCTTAAATAAGAGAGTGTCCACCTTTGTGAAACACTTCTATTAAACAGAGATTGTAAAAACAGATTGATTGTAATAAAGTTAAACCTGTTTATATAGTATTTTTGTAGAAATAAACCCTTTTTTAATTGAAATTGGTTTCATTTAAATGCATTAGTTTAAGCTTTATTTTATTTTGAATAAACTGAGTTGATTCAAAATGTGTTTTATTCGATTTCGGCTGAAAAGTTGAGAAAAATGTGTGTTTTTGGTGAAAATGGCTTTCAGGAGTGTAATACCTTAAATCAACCAGCAGATGTCGCCGTTGCAAAGGAAGACACCTCAGCTTTACTTACCTTTGATCGACAGCAGCGCCGTGCCTCCTGTCAAATGACGGAGCGTCTAACAGGAAATCCCGCCTTCAATGCGCTCCTTCAGAATAAAAACGGCTGTCTGTTTTTTATAGTGCAAAAGTTATCAAATGTAACAAATGAAACGCTTTTGACTATAATCCACCGTATTTAAACCACAGTGTACAACACAGCGTTTCAAAAATCGACAAGTGACAGCTTCTCACTACGCTAGCGATACAGCTTATCATTAAGCTGACGGGTTGAACCGGAAGTTCCGTGTGTAACCTTAAACTCTGTCCGTCTTAGCGGCTCGAAGTTAAAAACTGCTCGAAAACGGCATTTAAACTCACCCAAAATTCTCTGAAGTGGTTCAAACGACAGTTCGCAGTGTAGTCGGTCGCTCATGGCGCCGAAACGGCTTTTTTCGCCGTTTATCGAGACGTACCATTCGGTTCTTCCGTCCCGGAAGTGGTTGGAGCTAACTTTGTTAGCCTGTGTTACGCTAACAAAACTCCCCGTATTCCGTTTAACACTTTACAAGTGCCTAAAACTCATAAATGTTAGCGTAATTATGAAATAAAAGATGAAAACTGCGTTCACAGATTATATCTTAAAGATAAAATAGCGTTTTGCTATTTATAAGAGAGGAGTATATATTTCCCTTTCAGGAAGTGACGTCATTACCTTTATAAACCGTGAAATGCTTATTTCTAAGCAGCAGCAATGTTACAGCCTTATTACGACTCAAAATGACAGAATAACAACAAAAATCTGCAGCTTTTTGCTATAATCTGAACACCTCCAGTCATAACAGGTCTTATTACATCATTCTTTTTGCCAACATGATAAGGTAGTATTTTTTACTACTTCAAAATGCACAGAGATATCTTTTCATAAGAAAAATATGTAAATAGAGTTCACCATTCAGGAATCCTTTATGGGAATCGTACGGGCAACCATTATGTAAGGGGGTTTACTTATGCAAATAAGCTCACCTTACATCTTCTCATAACAAAGTTATGAGAGTAAATTTTACCAAGGTTTTCCTCATTACTCTAATATTTGTCTGTGCAAAGTGAAGTGACACAATGAGGGAACGTCAGACGAGTTCAAGTTGATTTATAAAAGATTATGCAATCATTTATTTACACAATTGAACAAATCATAAATTACACCTGATTGTGAGCTATTTATAACAAGTGTCTAAGTTAAAATGAGATAAAACCCGCGTCCAAATTTTCTTCACATTAAAACTTAGATTACCTATATATAAACAGTAAAAGTCAGTCTGATGTTAAAACTAAACAATTTACTGGCACTTTCACTTTAGAGTTGGCAAGGATACAGTGTAAGAAAAGGTGAGAAAATTAAGAATTAGTGTTTCTGCTTTTAATTTTGAAAGGTTTACAACCAGATTAGCACGTCCTCTCTGCTCTCAGCTTCAACTTGACACGTCACCCACGAWCACGTCAGCGTTACCTGGTGATGTCTGCTCAAAACACCCCTGGTGTAGACTGTCTCCCCACGACCCTTCAGGAAGCTTGTCCAGAACTGGTCCTTGGCGTTAAGGTGTCATTTAGGTGACTTTTTGTCTGTTTCAGCCCGGCTAGAAAGATTCCAGCTGTGGTTCCTGTCGTCTCTCAAAATAAAAGTCTCCCCTCGAGAGTTGAAAACACTTAAGAGACTTGGGTCTCTAGGTGGACATGGAGCGGCTTGCTACTTGCCCTGGCCAACAAGCCGACTCTAATTGGCTATTTGAGTCAAACCTGTGGCCATCGGCTCTTCTCCGGAGAGAATCAGCCTGTCCTCCTGTATCGGCACCAGGAAGAACACTCTGAAGTGTCTCTAAGGCATCCGTGTGTTAGTAAGCCAGAGTGGAGCCTTAGATAAGCCCTCAGTCAGAAAGGAAAAGAAGAGATAAGAGAGTTGCCAGCTGACGCCAGTGAAGGCCACTGCTCTGTAGCCGTTCACAGATATTATGAAAATATCTTCTCTGCTTCTTTCTGCTAGACTGTAAGAAATCACTGTGAAACATTTGTCATGATTAATTAACACTTCTGCTTAAATAATCATTCTGAACCTGTGTCCAGATAAATGTAAGATTTTCTTGAGACAAACTAAAAATTATATTACTGATGTTTCAGTAAAATAAAAACAGTGATTTATAAAAACACAATGAAAACATGGTGACGATTTTCTGTGATTCATTAATCTATTTTAGGCACGATAAAAGAATAGAAGTGATACTTTCTTTCTTTGTGACATGTCATTATTGTGATTAACAGATGCATAAACATTCTTAGTTAAACAACCAATGAATCACGAACAGAACAGATTGTTTCTGTTAATATCTGATTAAGAGAACTGAAGTCCTCGTGTAGGTTGAAATGACCCATCATGGCCTAAAATAGAGTTCAGTGTTCCTGCCTTCTCTCAGGCCTTTCGAGACCTGCTTTGAGGCAGTAACTCCTGTTTCTTCACTCGAGGTGACCCCTACACACACAAAAAAAAAAACACAAATAAAATGAAAGACAGGAAGCAGAAAGAAAAGTCTAATTTTATTCTCTGCCCCTTATTTTCAAAAAATAAAATATAGGCTACTAGATTATTACACACATTCTTAAAACCAAGAAATATAGTAGTTCAATTTCAACTGAAGATTTTCACAATCTTGACATTTCTCTGAGAATAATTTCGAATATGATCATATATTTAAATATATATTCTGTGTGTGACTGCTTGTCTGTGTTTTTCTAGATACAGGATCAACAAAATCCCCTCTGAGAGACTCTTCAGATTTGCTTTAAGTCAGATGTTTGATATCTAAATTTTAGACCCAGCTTTGAGACAATATTTTTTTAAAATTAATTCTTCAAAGTATTAATATTTCCTACAAGTCTGATAAATACAGCCCCTGGTCTTTGATTTTAATTTTGACATGAACATTCGAAAACTTTAAAATGTTTGGAAAATCCCTTTATCAAATAGAGTACATACAGTTGATCAGTTTCATCTGATGCTTCCTGCAGCCCTTCCTCCTGAGGACAGGACATCGTCACCGTCTAGTTGTGCTTTTTATGAAAATCATCACCTGTGCAACAAGTGAAACTCTGCTCTGGGTTGTGTCTCGCGCTACTATTGCTTTCTTTTTAATGATGAACCAAGCTGCACGCAGTTCTGTGTAGGTCCGTGTGTGCGTGCGTAAGTGCGCGCGCACACGTGCGCTCATAGCAAAGGTTCTTTGTGGGTTTGTGACTCCCACTCTTTCTGGCCCAGGCTTATAAACTGCACGACAAACTAAACACATACATTTGTTTGCCTCTGTGTCTCACAATAACTCCTTCACTGGTTTGTTATATTTTGCGAATTTGCCAAAACACACCATGAATCCAACCAATTCATTTCCTCATGAACCTTTGAATCAGGTACCAAAGCAGTGACATAAGTTCACCGCTTTAGAAGCTTCGGACGTCACTGATCACATGACTTTTACCAAACGAATCAAGCTCTGACACAGTGCTTCTGAAACAGTGTGTTGTTTTTTTCAATACATGCGCTGAAACTTCAGCTTCAAACTGCCCGTCACTAATTGAAATGTTATTTAGGAGAGCAGTTGGATTCATTTTGTTCTGTTCTTCTTGTCAACAGCTGGTTTATCAGTAGGATTATAATAGTGTTAATAAAACATTTTAGTTAATAAAATGTTAATGTTAAACAAATATAATACTTATAAAAAGGGATTTAAACAATATTTTAACATTTTACATATTTTATGGCATTGTTTGTAGGTTTGCATAGGGGGTCCCCGGCCAAATGCTTATGCTGTTTGTGAGACTATAGCATGGAAAAGTTTAGGACCCCCTGATGTAACGCACATCATTTTTGGAGTTCTTTCAGGTCTAAAAGATTTAAAACATCTGATGGTTTTAATCTGAGTAGAACCTCCCCATAAGATAAATAGAATAAACAGTCAAACTTTTGACAGCTAGCATAGCTCTGTCTATGTGTACTAGCGGCAACAATTGTTGCTGTGCTTACATTCACTCTTATCATGATCAAAAGATGCATGCAAGCATAAAATTCTCAATATATCTCAGCAGAAGACTCTTTAAAGAATGTATGTACAAAATATTTCAATTCTGTGTGTTAAGACATTTTATTCACTCCCTTTTGTACCAGTTTGAGGTAGACATTTCCATCGAGCAGGGCAGGCAGGAAGTCAAGGGGTGTGGTTATGTGACCATTCTCACTAACTACATGTAATTGGTAAAACTAAAAGTAGACAGCCTATTATTTTGTTACAAAATATTAATTTGCTGTCCAAAGCCAAAATAACACCTTGAGAGCTTCCAGAGGTAAAACAAAAAGTCCGGCAACAATTGTGGCCGGTGGGATTAAATGGGTTTTAATTTTCCTCTTTTTTTTCAGGAAAGATTTTGTTCCTTTTTTCTCCTCAGCTAAGATTTTGTTGGAGGATCAGGCAAAATAATTAATAAAAGTTTTATTCCTGAATTCTGTCTTTGTGTCCTCTTGAAATGTGTTATGACCCTTCTGTGTTTCAATGGGCCATAACACTAACACGGAGACACTGAAGACAAACTAAACTAACACAGAGACACTGAACCAGACCAGACTGTAAATCCAGGATGTAGAGTTTGAGTGAATGTGGTGTTGAAGGTGTGGAGGTGGATCAGAGAGTCAGAGGAGACTCTGTAYAAGGACAGAATACCAGCAGGACAGTCCACATACACTGCTACCAAGTCAGAGGAGGAGGAGGAGATGAATGTTCTTCTGTTATTGTGACTGACATAGTAACCATAATCATCAGAGCATCTCAGACTCCAGGACTGATCATTGAATCCAAACACACAGTCATTAAAGTCTCCTGTCCTCTTGATTCCTCTGTAACTCACTGATATGTAAACTCTTCCTCTCCACTGGACCTCCCAGTAACAGCGACCAGTCAGACCAGTTCTACACAGCAGCTGAGGACGATCAAATCTGTCTGGATGTTCAGGATATTGAAGCTCCGCCCCCTGCCATGTCACCTTCCTGTTGTTAGACAGGTGGAGGAATCGGTTCACTGTGTTTGTGTCGATGGTGAGCTGACAGGAATCTGATGGAACAAACACAATCCAGCTGTTACTGATCCAGATCCAGAGTCCTGCAGAGTCCAGCACTAACATTGGGAGGGGGCTGCTTGTGAACACAGAGCTCTGATCAACAACATGAACATAACTTTTATATTAAAAGAGAGCAGTTTTTTTAAATATTCCAGAACATAAGTCTGCAGTTTGCATGAGTTGAATCTTATTTAGTTTATTTCGTATCTAAAGTAACATTTAAGACAACTTGAATATTTATGCCATTTAAAACTTTAAAGCGGACCTAATATTGCAAAATTAACTTTTTTCAGTTTTTTTTTACTCACATTTGGGTCTGTACTGCATCTAGAAACAGTCCAAGCATAAAAAAATCACTCAGAGGCATTTTTACTATAAGTAAATGTATTTTTCTGTATCTTGAAATTAGCTTTTTTCAAACATCGCTACTTGTGATGTCACAAGTCGCACTCCAGTCCACCCCAACCTGCGCCCAGCTCATCTCCTGGTAACCCAAGCAGAGACTCCGCCCACTTCCTCTCTGGATGGTTCTGCTGTTTTAGAACAGTCATGGAGAACAGAGATGAGATAAGATAAAACTTTATTGATCCCACAGTGGGGAAATTTGTGCATTACTGCAGCTCAATACAGGAGAGGGAAATATAGAATAAAGAAAGATAAGCAAAAGAAAACAAAGAACAAAAACCCCTATACTCGTGATATATATCAATGTACATATACCTAGTAGAGTAAATAAATATATGTACATGAACATGCATATTATTGATGGCAGTGTAGGTGAATTGTCCAAGTGACTGATAACATCATGATATGTGTATTAATTTTATTTTTATTTAATTTAATTTTTATTTTTGATGGCAATTTTCTAGCAATAAGTACTATGGGAAAATAGCACTTTCTACTGAAAAGGAACTGACAGTAAACTTCTGGCAGGGGACAGAATTAACGTAAACAAAAATTTGGGAGGGGGTTTCCATAGCAACTTATGCAAAGCAGCAGGTTCTGAAGAGCTGAAGAACAGGCAGAACTGAAAAGGTGAAATTTCATTATATGAGATAAATTTTATGACGTAAATCAAATGACCATGTTTTATAGAGCCCACAGATGGATCCCAACTTGTTCTAGGACCCCCATAATAGGTGTCCTTTTGATATGAACCGGTCTTTGAACTCTGAATTAATGCCAAACTCAAAAGATAGTTTTACAGATTTTATTGTTGATGTGCAAGGCTTTGGTGTAGTTCTGGATCAGGACATCGAGTTGGACTGGAACTTCTGGACACACGAAAAACTATTAACAGAGTCACTGTGAACTTTGACTGAGAGAAAATACAAAGCCACTGACCTGGTGTTGGTGTGGGTGTTCCATACACAATCACTGATTTGAGTTGAAAGGGTCCGAGCCTGTGTGATGTCGTCACCGTTCAGAATTGTTTGGGGTTTGAGTCCAACAGACAAGAACAGGGTCCAGGGATAAGCGAGAATCAGAATCAAAAGAATTACCAGACTTAGTGGAGCAGGTTTGAGTCGTGGGTCCGTAAACTGAGCAGGGGTCGAAAGCCGTGTAATCCGATGAAGCGTCGCGCAGATGAGGGAAAATCCAAGAGCCGAAAAACCAGGAAGTGAAGCAGGAGTCGTTACTGGGTAAGCAGAAGACAGGAGGAATCCGACGAGGGCAAAGGCAGAGATCATTAAACCGAGGAGCATGAGCAGGATCAGGGAACCAGGACTAACAAGGGACAAGGTACAAGATTGCCGGAAGTTCATAGCAGGGCACATGAAAATCTGGCAGAGACTGAGAGTTGATGACAAGGCTTTTAACTGGGAACTACAGGTGAGTTGCATGAAGCTGATTGCATGAAGGCGGGGCTGTGGTAAACTGATGATGGGAGGGGGAAAAACACTGAGCAGAAACAGGCTGAAGCTGTGAACAAGGGATGTTTAAAAAATGCATGACATGACTAAGGAAATAAAACAAAGGACTGAGGACACGGCTGTGGCATAAAATATGATCAGGTTAGGAATCACAAGGCTGGCAAGGTGGATTTATAACAGAGCCTCCCCATTAAGGTCCGGCTCCTGACGGACCCCTGGGTTGACTAGGGTTGAGTCTGTGGAAGTCGTTAATCATGTCTTTATCCAGAATGTGCCATACAGGAACTCAGGAACGCTCTTCTGGCCCGTATCCCTCCCAATGGACCAGGTACTGAAGTCCACATCCCCATCGGCGAGATTTCAGGAGTCGTCTCACAGTGTATGCAGGACCTCCATTGATGAGTCGGGCGGGAGGAGGGGGCCTTGAGGAGGGCATTGTAGAGGTAACCCTGGTGAAAAAAAAACTTTTCTATTGTTTTTTTTCTTTGTCTTTGATTTTATTTTTTACACTTATAAGAAGAAAATCATTTTAAAGTGTTTTTATTTTCTTTAAGTGAATAGGACAAAGTCCTATATATATGTT